AGCATGAATACTTATGAACACCAGTGAAACAACGATTGAAAAGTTGCAATCGTCATACACGAACACTGTTGATAAAGTGATAAGTTTTTCAAATTAACTACCATCTTCACCAAAATTCATACTCAAAACAGTATTCTTCTTCAAACTACATTCCAAAACTACATTAACCTAAAGCTACTCTAACACTATCTGCATCTTTGAATCTGACTCCGTGATTTGGCAAGCAATCTTTGAAGTTGCTTCATTCTCGCTTATGGCATCAGCGTCTATCTTCCGCATAGCATAGTCCCAGAGGAGAGCACCATATCTTTGACGGAGTAGATTGAAATCAAATGTTGTTTGTGGAATCTCACCAAGAGTGCTCAGAAACTCTGCGTATGCTGAAACATGCACCCCACAATCCCTAAAAAATAATTGATTGAAACAATTAAATCTAATTCATACAATTAGATTTGTATATAACATACAAGAATGATGATTGAATACTTACATGCTCCCAGCTTTCTGTTGAGGCAGATCTGAGATGAAAAAAACTTCAAAGGGATCATACAGAGAAATACATATGAATAATACAGTTGAATACAACTGTCTATAGGTGAATAAAACAGCTGACTACAACTGACTACAGCTTAATACAACTGAATAAAATAGTTGAATACAAGTGACTACATCTGATTAAAACAGTTGAATACAACTGAATAAAGCTGAATAATATTGAATAATACAACTGACTACAGGTGATTAAAATAGTTGAATATGACTGTCTACAGCTGAATAAAGCTGAATAAAGCTGTTGAATACAGTTGACTATAGCTGTATTCACCACAGTTGAATTCAACTGACTATAGCTAAATACAGAGAAATACATATGAATAATACAGTTGAGAACAACTGAATACAGCTAAAAGCAAGAAAAATACAGCAGAATACAGCTGAATAGTACAACAGAATACAGCTGAATAATACAACAGTGATGGGAACCTTGAAAATCCTTAAAAATACAACTATAAAAATACATCAAAATACATATACATACGTATAAATACAACTGAATACATTAATACCAAAATAGTACAAAAATGTGAATTTGAATATATCTAAATAGATTTAAATACAACATATAATATTCAAGTAAGCACAACTCAGTTATTGACAAATGTGAATGTGTAAATGAGTTCTGGATTGTTTTAATACTTATGAATACAACCAGATACATACGAATACAATATCATACATATAAAATAACTTGAATAATTATGAATACATATAAGTTTCTTTGAATGCATATTGATACAATATCAATTATCTTTTTGTGCCGTGTATCTGATGTTTTTTTTGCATCAACTTCCTTAAGATTGACACATGAAGAATCATTCATAGGTTTTTTCCTCTTTGAAGCAACTGGATTTTTTGTTCCTTTTGAAGATTTCTCAACTTGGACTTCTTTCGATTTGTCATTGTGTAGTTTAGTTCTTCTCTCTGAAACTATAGTTGCTGATAAACCTGCAAAATTCGACTCCGCTTGAGTTATTTGCAACGAGAAAGAGGGCCCATCAAAATTGAGAATTTTGGTGGGTATACCTCTGGTTATCATCTTGTGTGGCGTTGAATCCGACATTGGAGAGAAAAACCAAAGCTTCCTGGTGAGTAAACAATACCAATAGTTATTGTTTCAGAAACAAAGTAAAATCTGTATCAAAATTAGAGAAACAAAATAATGATATCAAAATCTAAGAATTAAACCTACCATGAGCACTTGTATCGGCTCTAAAACAATGATTTTAGAGAGATGCGAAATGGGGAGTGATAATGGCGGAGGCCTAGAGAATTTGGGTGGGAGAAGAGTTATGAATCGTGGGTTTGTGGGAGAAGAGAGTAAAGTGTATGCAAAAAGAGAGAGAGAGAACGTGGTTAGAGCAGATATACGGTGATTATGTGAGAAAAAAGACAAAAGGAGAGAGAAAAATATTATTTAGCATATATGGTGCCTTAAATGTAGGATGTAACTATAATTAGATATTTTGCTATAAAGGATAAAAGGTATCTATAGGATGTAATATTTTAAAATGGTATTTATTTAAAATAAATAGGGTACTAAGCTTTTCTACAGGGTGTAAAATTTCCTTTAAAGTTACAAATACATTTATGATTAAACTATTTAATGTCCTTGCATTGGAGCTCATAAAGCTTAGGTTTTATATATACATCAATATATAAAAAAGGCAATCCGGTGCACGAAGCATCCCACATTTACGCAGGGTTCCGGGAAGGGCCGCACCCCAAGGGGGTGTGATGTAGGAAGCCTACCCTGATGCAAGCATCACTGACTGATTCCACGGTTCGAACCCATGACTTATAGGTCACACTGGAAACAAATTTACCCGTGACATATATATACACGTCAATATATGTGTTAATATAAAGCTTAGATCTTTCTTCCTCACCACTTTCATGACACTTGATGCATATTGAATAAATTTACATGACTTATGCAAAGAAAACAAACTAGTACAACTTTGTGATAACAGTGAAGAAATTTAAACAGCAGCCAGCATGCTGCATTTTATAGTACAGCTAGAAATTAGCTATGTTTAAGAAGAAATTTCCACTCACCTAGGGCCTGATAAGATTGAGGGAAATAATGGAGCAGAATCTACTATATTGATATCTGATACGTTTTGTGGCATAAGAAAGTTATAGTCCGGACTCTTTTCAACATCCACCGCGCCCTCGATGACCATGACAACTATTGACATTGATGGTCTCTTGGTATAAACGCGTTGTAGACACCACGCTGCAACTTGCATTGTATCTACTACTACTTCCTTATAAAGCTGCATATCTTCACTGCGCTTATCGATCAGATCCACTAGTCGCCCTTCCTCTGCCTTTCTCTTGAGAAGACTAAACAATAGCCTTTGCTCCTCGGGCTCAGACGGCTCGAAATTTTTTCTTCCACGCAAGATCTCCAAGAGTACAACGCCAAAGCTATAGACATCTACCTTTTCTGTTATAACTGCACTAAGCCATTCAGGAGCTAGATAGCCAGGAGTACCTCTCATGGTAGTCACAACTTTGCTCTGAGTCCGATCAATTAGCTTGGAAAGTCCGAAATCAGAGAGCTTAGCATCATACTTCTCATCTAATAGAATGTTTTGAGGCTTAATATCCAAATGTAGAATTTTTTGCCTGCATTCGTCGTGGAGGTAGGCTAATCCTTTGGCTATGTCATGAATAATCTTCTTCCTGCATTTCCAATCTAGAACGATTACTTGATTGCCAGAGTAGATCCATTTGTCTAGCGATCCATTGCTCATAAACTCATATACTAGAAGTCTGTGAGATTTCTCAGCACAGAAGCCAATTAATTGGACCAAGCTGAGATGATGTATGCTGCCAATGGTTTCAACCTCAGCTAGGAATGATTTCTTGGCTTTGCCTATTCCATCAAGGCATTTCACTGCTATCTTTGTGTCGTCTTTTAAGGTCCCTCCGAACACTGATCCAAATCCTCCTTCACCAAGCTTTTTGCTAAAGTTCTCAGCTGCAGACTTTAGATCGTCGTAAGAAAATCTAACAGGCATTCCTGGCATGTTATCTAGATAATGCTCTTCCACTTCATCTTCCTTTCTCTTCCTCGAGAATATGAAAATTATGCATCCGATTACGATACCAAGAGCAGAAATTCCTGTAACAGATCCCACTATAGCACCATTCATGCGCCTCTTCCTTCTTGCAACAGCTGGTTGAGTTTCGTTCTGTACTTTCACATTCTGTACTTTCACAAATGCAGAGGAATTATACCTTGTCTTGTCCTTCTCATTATTCATCAACGAAAAGATCTCGGACGGAAGGTAGCACTCCCCACTAGAAGAATTTGAACCGTAATGAAAAATAGCAGCTTTACAAGAACAATTCCTCAAACATGCATTTTTTACAGGTATTCATGTCTGTGTCAATAATATCTGCACCAAACGCGAAACAATTCACATCATTGAGCTCCAAATATCTGTGGTTATTTGAGTCATTACAAGTCATTTTTGTGATCTCAGAACAACCAAGATTAGGCTGCCTATCATTTATCTGTCTAAAATAGTTTGTTGAATCAGAACTTGATTTGGGACAACTACACTGTCCATTTGAGCAAATGCCATATCTTCCACATACCATTGGATAACCACACTCACCATAAAAGCCTGTAAAAAGGTCATTGACCTCTTTCCACTGGTCTTGTCACTCATACACTTTCAAGTGCCCATCAAATTCCAGTTTCATAAATTGAGCTGAAGATACAGGAGCAACAGAAACCAGTATAGTTGGATTCTTGGAGTCATTGGAATTTGTGATTAAAGCTAAGCTTCCATTCAAATACATGACATAGTTGGATGCTTTACTATCCGTTAGTCCATCTATAGAACTCTCAAAATATGTTTGTGGTGGACTCGACTCAATGAAAGCAATCAAACCATTATTTGTGGCAGAGAAAGAAAACAAACCTCCCTCAGTCCAGTTTGTTGCTGAGACACTTGCTGTTAGCTTCTTTCCCGATACTAACTTCTGTCCTGGTACCAGAGAATCAGTTGGATGATCAAATGATTGCCAAACAGTAACATTGTTGACATCAAAGAGAACAAGATTTCCCAAATGAGTCAACTTTAAGCCAGCAACAGATTTCTCAGTAGTATTTGTTGACCAAACCAAAGTACCATCAGCATCTCTAAGTACCAAGTTTCCTCCTAATGTGAGCTGCAAAGTTGCATTGATCCTAACTGGATTATTCCCATTAGCAGACCAAACAACTTGTGGGAATCCTACATTAACAGCTGTAATAGAGGAAATACTATTTGTGTACACAATGAAAATGGCAAAGATGTAAGTTTCACAATTGCCATTACAGTAGAATCCACAAGCATATCTTGGACCAAAGCTTCCTTTAACAAGTATAGCCCTTACTATAGAGCCAACAGTGAAGTTCACTGAATGTGGTGCTGAATAATTGTTGATCCAAGTAGTTGAAAGATTTGCAGTTGGATAATCAAAAGGTTGGCTGGTTAATGAATGAAAATAACAAAAAAGAGTGAACAAGAAAGGGAAAATCTTTCAACTACTTGGATTATCCAGCCAACCTTTTGATTATCCAACTGCAAATCTTTCAACTACTTGGATCAACAAGTATAGCCCTTACTATAGAGCCAACAGTGAAGTTCACTGAATGTGGTGCTGAATAATTGTTGATCCAAGTAGTTGAAAGATTTGCAGTTGGATAATCAAAAGGTTGGCTGGTTAATGAATGAAAATAACAAAAAAGAGTGAACAAGAAAGGGAAAATCTTTCAACTACTTGGATTAACCAGCCAACCTTTTGATTATCCAACTGCAAATCTTTCAACTACTTAGATCAACTTGCAGTTGGATAATCAAAAGGTTGGCTGGTTAATGAATGAAAATAACAAAAAAGAGTGAACAAGAAAGGGAAAATCCAGCTTACAGCCATAAAGAAGAGATTTGTATGATATCTGTAAGATGGTGAAGTGGCCTAAGTAAACCTCATTTTAATTTAAAATAGATGCATGGACTTGGACACTTAGAAAGAATCAACCCCAGAGCATTGACCTATCATTTACTTCTTGACTTACTTTGTTGGTCAACCACTACTATTTTATTTTCAACTTACATTATGGTTTGGAGGGAAAAAAGGGACCTGCTTAAATTAGTGGAAACTTGGAAAAACTAATTAAGTGGACTGCAAAAGGAGTCAAATAGAAAACATTGACCTTCCTATTTCATCCAACTTCCCCGCTTTTTCCTAAAAGGCAGCCTAGTGCAACAAGTTTCGCTGTGCGCGGGATGCGGAGAAGGGTTGGATCACATTAGTTTTATGTATGCAGCCTTACTTTGCATTTGCAAGAGGTTATTTCTTCAAGTTGAACCTGTAACCTCTTGAGTACAGGATGGTAACTTTTACCTTTGTGCCAAGACTTTCCTTCAGCTTCTTCCTCAAATTCTTTTTTATTTATTTTTTGTTTGGATGTACTGAAATTGAATGACTACTTCTAAAAGTTTAAACTTTTAGAGAGATGCAACTTTTTATTTTTTTTTTATTTATCTTGCGTTTTCACACATCTTCATATAGAGAGTTGATTCTTTCTCTTGGATCATACGCATACATATTTACTTACTTTTCCTTTAATTTGCAGATTTTTTCCCAGTAAAATGAACAAAAGAATGAAAAAATGTGAAAAGGAAGTACGAGAAAAAATGACGTGTCTAATTGACAACAGATTAAAGGCAAAAGAAGAAGGCAATGGCAAGGCCCTCAATAATGACCTATTGGGTATATTATTAGAGTCAAATTCTAGAGAAGTTGAAGAGCATGGTAGCAAGAAGTTTGGAATGAGTAAACTGAAGTAATTGAAGAGGGCAAATTATTCTATTTTGCTGGGCAAGAGACTACATCAGTGTTGCTTGTGTGGACATGCGTGTCCCTCAATCACATTAATATGTTATGCACGCTAGATAAAAATATTCCACGAGATTTTTTAGAAAACGTTTTTTAGAATATTCTTTTAGCCCATTCTCTTTCCTCTCACAAACACCTTCACCATCTCACGCCTTTCTTCTCCTCAAAAATAGTCATCCGCCATTTTCTTATCATCTGCAACGCAACACCAAAAGAAATTCTCCATCACAAGTTCTGGACATTGTCATGACAAACCACCAATTCTTCCTCATTTCCATCTTACAGAACACACCAGCAACCATCTTGCAAACACCCAACAACCATCTCCTCTCCATGAAAAAGAGCTTTGAAGTCACTACTCACAACTTCGAAATTTCACAAGTGTGGTCAAAGTTGCTTGAAATTTTGGGGGCCGTGAATTGGCAGTAGAACCGTGAAGTCAAACCCAAATGGGGTTTTTGCAAAGTAAAAACAGCAGTTGTGGCAACACCAAAGTCAGAGGAACGCTACAATAATGAGACGGGACAGCTAACCATGGACAAACAGAGCGACAACGGAAAAAATGCATTATAGAGGCTTGCCAATGAGTATTTCCAGCCAGTCAAATCCAAAGTGATGTGGTGATTTTTGCGGTCTGGAGAGTGGTTTTGTGGAAGAGGAAAGAAAGAACAATGGAAAAGGGTGGTCGGAGATGAGAAAGAGGACACCGGTGAGAGCTCCTAATGAAACTTACATCAAATCATTATTGCAGGCCGCAACTGGGACACATGGGCCGAGCTTATTTTGTCAAATCATATATCCTACTATCAAGAGCTAAATAAATTTATATGTATTTCATCCTTAAAAGTCCAAATTTGCTATGTAATAGCTTATTGACGCATAGGTGTGGGCGTTCGGATAGTTCGGATTGGATATGAAAATTTCGGTTTTAGAATTTTGGTTTTCGGATTGAAAAAATGACAATCCAAATCCAATCCAAATAAGCTCGGATTGAATCGGATTTTTTAAGTTCGGCTTCGGATTAATCGGTTTGGATATTTTTGATTTTCGGTTTTGAGCTTATAAGTTGAGATGTTTCTTCTTTTTATAAAAGTAAATATCCAAAATTTCTTGAAAAGTTCCTCACTCTCACTGCAATTATCCAAATAAAGTATCAAGTAATGAAATTATTACCAATGAATGCAACAGAGACATTAATATGGTCAATAAGAAGTAGCAATAGTAAAACCATGTCCAAATAGAAAGTATTCTGAGAGTATTATTATTTCCATATGAATAATGGACTAAATATAAAGTATAAAAATTTCGGATTTTCGGACATCCAAAAATCTGAAGTACCAAATCCAATATCCAATCCGAAATCCAAAAAATTTAAAAAATCAAATCCAAAACCCAATCCGTAATCCCAAAATCCAAAAGATTCGAACTTCGGTTTGGATTTCGAATTTGCCCAAACTATGCCCACCCTTATTGACGCAAGCATGCATCACTATATCAGCCTACTTACCAACTTATAACAAACCTACTTACCATAAGTGAGTCAACTAACAGAAAAATGATAATCGGAAGGTAAATAATTGGATTCTTTCTTTTTTCTTTTAAGAAACTCAATAAAAGTGTGAAACATCAATTATTACCCTACTTCAATTCACAAAACCAAGCTCAAACTAATGATCCCGTTTCTTAGTTCCCTACCTTCCAAATGTGAGAGGAGATCTTAAGCAAGTAATTAAACAATCTTTCTGGATTAGCATGCATTAATTGTTTCTGGTACAAACTCTTGTCTTTGCTCTATTTACCCTGTATAAAATGGTGCTTTCTTTTGCCATCTTGCCATCAACTTGCTTTTGGAGCTCTCTTCACTATTAAACAACTTCAGAAAGCGAGCAGTCTCTCTTTCAAGAACTCCCCCTCCCCCACCCAACATTTCTTCTTAAACAATAGAAAAGAGTAAGAAAGCAAAATCTTCAATTTCATATCCCAAGAAAAATGTCAGACTATTACCCTGAAGAACTGATGGTTCAAATCTTCTCAAGGCTTCCTCCCAAATCTCTCCTCCGATTTAGGTGCATATCAAAATCATGGAACTCACAAATTTCAAGCCCTGAATTCATATCGCTGCACACCCTGCGAATTCTCCTAAAACCCTCTACAGGTACAATCATGAGGTACTTCTCAACAATTGAAAGGAAGGAAAGATATTTAATTGTACGTAGGGATGCATCAGCATATGTTGACCCTGTAATAACATTAGGATCCCCTTTTAGTGGCAGAGTACGATATTACTGTAGGATCGTGGGTGTATGCAATGGTGTGGTCTGTTTGTCAAATGATTTATTTGGATATGATAATCTTTTGGTACTTTGGAACCCTAGAATAAGCAGATGCCTCACCCTCTCTACGCCTGCTCATTGTTGTGACAATGTGTGGACTTATAAGTTTGTCTTTGGGTTTGGCTTTGCAATTAAAATGAGAGATTACAAGGTTGTGAAGGTGGCCTATACTCATGGGGATTATCAGGATTTGGCGCCACCTAAGGTTGAGGTATATGCACTTAGTTCGGGAATTTGGAAGGAATTTGATGGTTTTATTCCAGACACTGGTGTTATAGAGTACTTTTGGACACAAGCTGTTGTTTGTGGGAAAGTCCACTGGACTGCATACAAGAGAACTGGGGAGGGAAGAAGGGTGGAGAACTTGATAATGGTGTTTGATCTGAATGATGAGATTTTTCAGGAATTATCATTACCAGAAGTTTTGGTGAACGAAATACCTCTGAATCTGAATGCTGCAGAGTGTAGGGAATTACTTGTTGTGTATCAGTATGATATACGTATTTGGAGCAGCAGTTGTTCCATTCGGGTAATGAAACAATATGGAGACACTGAGTCATGGAGCAAGGAATATAACGTTGCACTTGGCCACGAGCATTTAATGGTACTCGGCATTAGTGATAATAGTGAAATATTGTTGACCGAATCAATAGGGATGCTAGCTTTATATAATCCTGAGACGCAAAAAAAGGAGAGCTTTTGTATTCCTGGCACTGAGTACTCTTTTTATTTTGATACTTACCAGGAAAGCCTTGTTTTGCTAGATAAAGGGGTTGTACTGCCTCCACTTGATTTACCATCGGAGAAGACGACGGATGATGATGAAGATGAAGAAAATGATGCTGAGAATGCTCCTCAAAGCTGGATGCATTATCTTATGCATCAGTATCTCACAGCTTTTCTTGGAGCCGGAAATATCTAAGAGCTCGCCTGTATCTTAAATAATGAACAAAGGTTATAAAGTTCAGGCCGACCTTCCGCGGCAGATTATATATCTGCTTTCTGTCAGGCCATCCCAATTTCATTTATCACAGCTATGTACCATGTGCTCGGTGTTATGCTTGTTATTACAACTTTAATCAATTTTGACTGCTACACCATTTGTAGTTATATGTTTGGTTACATTGACCAAATCAAGATGAATATTCAAATCAAATGTGTCAGTCAATGCATTTTACTTTTAGGTGAGGAAAGCCGTAAACTTGAACCTTTTAGCTTTGAGATATTTCAGTAACACATAACTATTTTGAAATTGGTACAGCTGACAAATGAATAAGAATACATAAATCACACCACTAACAAATGGCACAGTTCAGTAATCAAAATTCTATGGTAAACATTATGGGATATCTATTTGTTGATTGGTAATAAATGTCTCAATCAAAGATGAGATAGACCCACTACCAAATTAATGTGTTTTCAACTTTAATCTTCTTAAACATCATTTTAGTTACAAATATCTGCAGCAACAGAACAAGGCAGCAGATTATTAGCTTCATTTGTGTATCTCTTTGATACTGAAGTACACCCAAGTGTTATAGGTGTCACCATAAACCAACAGAAAAAATCAAAGCAATTTCCATAAACCAAAACCAAAAATATTAATTTTATGCTATGACCAAATGATAAAACCAACAACAAAAATATTCATGCAAGTCCATCAGCGGTCAGCTTGTTTAGCTGTGGGCATATAGATAATCAAAGTGATTCAAGATCACAGTAGCTCAGATAAGCTGACTCAAGACTAGGGGTGTCAAATGGGAGGGTTGGGCCGATTTTGGGCGGGACAAAATGGATTAAGTCAATAAATGGACGGGTCAATGACCCGCCCAAAGGTTACTTTGGCTGAGATGAGTTTGGGTCAAGATGGACTAAAATTTGGGTTATAGCTCAACCCGTCCAACTCTTACTAAGCTTTTAATATGTGTTGTTTTCATATGAATTGTATAATTACAAAATAAGATTTTTTTTTTTTCTTTTGTTATGGTCATATATAACATATCAAACAAAAAAATAATTATTTCTAAGATATTTTGGCAAGGTTACTCATGGATCAATTGGGCTAAAAATCAGCCCAACTTTAGATGAGTTGGGTCAAGATGGATTGAGTTCAATAAATGGATGGGTCATTGGGCTTGGGCCAAATTTCCCTGCTCAAGACTTACCTATAGATGTTTGCGGACAGTTTTCTCCAGCCAATCATCTGGTTCTTCTGTGACAGCAAAAGAAACATGTGTCCTTATGAATTGTGCCTTGGCTTTTGCTCTTGAAACTCCAAGTACCCAAGAATTCCTGAACCTCAACCGCACACATTACCCCAGATTCTTAAAAGGTATCAGTTAAAGCTGCATCTTGTAATGCCTCATCAGTTTCCTAACCATCCTGTAATTTCGTTGCAAAAACAAAAAGAATGTCAATCAAAGGGTTATTAATATGCTTAGAACCCTAGGAAATCAAAATATTGTAAGTGACAATAGATGTTTGTCTGAGGGGATATATAGCCCCAACATCACTTTGGCCTGTAATATGTTAAACTCCGTTTAGTAAGTAATGTATGTAAATCCTTTTACTACTCAAAGAAAAAACAATATTATCCATACTCCAGATAGGGAACCAAAAAGAACAGACAATTGGATGGAACTGTACCTTAGGGAAAATCCATCTTGGACTCTTCTGTGAGCTGATCCATAAAATTTCAAAATCATCAATTTTGGTCCCTGGACTGTAGATGATTGGTTGAGTTTTCTGTATCTTTATGGAATGCATCTACACCATCGGTAAAATTGACAGAGAAGTCAGATCAACCTCTTAATGAACAACAAGTTGATCAAAGAATATCAACCCAACCCCAACACAAAGAATTATGAAGAAAAAAGATTTTACAATCTCCTTTTGAGCCAACCTTTCATCTCAAACAATAGAAAAGTAAGGAAGAAAATAACAAGATCTTCAATTTCATATCCCAAAAAATATTGTCAGACTATATCCCTAAAGAATTGAAAAAATAATAAGATCTTCAATTTCATACCCCAAGAAAAATGTCAGACTATATCCCTGAAGAATTGATGGTTCAAATCTTCTCAAGGTTCCCACCTGAATCTCTACTCCGATTTAGGTGCATATCAAGATCATGCAACTCACTAATCTCAAGCTCGGAATTCATATGGATTCCCACCAAACAAACCATTCTCCAAAAAGCACCAACACATGAAATCATTAGGTACTTCTCAGAAACTCAAAGGAAGGAAATATACTCCATTCAACTAACTAATGCATATGCCGGTAATGAAACTGAATTCAGAATAAAAGCCCTTAAAATGGCATAGTGCGATAGTATTATAGGATAGCGGGCATATGTAATGGCGTATGTTAGTCAGATGATTTATTTGGATATGAAAAATCTTTTGGTACTTCGGAACCCTAGAATAAGCAGATGCCTCGCCCTCCCTATGTGTCCTCTTTGCTCCGACGCCATAGGAACTTGTATGTTTGTCTTTGGGTTTGGCTTTGCAATAAAAACAAGAGATTGCAAGGTTGTGACGATGGCTTATGCTCATGGTGATGGTAGGTACTTGGTGCCACCTAAGGTTGAGGTATATGCACTTAGTTCGGGAATTTGGAAGGAATTCGATGGTTTTATTGCAGATGTTGGTGTTATAAAGTACTTTTAGACACAAGCTTGTTTGTGGGGAAGTCCACTGGACCGCATACAAGAGAACTCGGGAGGGGAGAAACTTGATAATGGTGTTTTATCCGATTGATGATATTTTTCAGGAATTATCATTACCAGAAGTTTTGGTTAATGAACCACCTACGAATCTGGATGCTGCAGAGTGTAGGAAATCACTTGCTGTATATCAGAACGATCAACGTATTTGGAGCAGCAGTTTTTCCATTTGGGTAATGAAACAGTATGGAGACACTGAGTCATGGAGCAAGGAATATAATTTTGCACTTGGATGGGCATTCGGGCATGGTACTCGGCATTAGTAATAACAGTGAAATATTGTTGACAGAAATAATAGGGAAACTAACTTCATATAATCCTGAGACTGTAGAAATTAGGAGAGTCTAATTGGAAAATTTTCTGCTTTCTTCATTGATTTTCATTGTACAAGAACGTCTATATATACAGATATTCCTTGCTGAGAGAAAAAGAATGACCAATGAAATACTGTACACTTGTAAGAACTTTACTAGACTAATCATAACAAATAACTAACTATTATTCCCTATACATGTGAATATTTCTATCCGTGTGAGAAGCTTCCAGAATTGTGAAGCTCTTCACTATTCTCAAATGAACGGCCAGGATTTAATCCATCATGAATGTCTTTGTTGCTTGAGATGGTGACATGTGTCTCATTCTTTGACTTTCTTTTGAGATCAGATTGAAGACCATTTGTTTTCTCCGCCAAATATTCTGAACATTTCTTTTCTTCTTCATCTGCTTTCCTCTTCTTCTCTTCTTCTTCGTGAGACAAAACAGATTTAGAACTAGAATCAAGAGATCGATTCCCAATATCCCCCCTCAAGTTGGAGGGGAAAGAAGAGAGACCCAACTTGCCAAGGATGGATCGATGTGAAGGCCCAGAAAGGGGTTTGGTAAACAAATCAGCAAGTTGTGATTTTGAAGGCAAATATGAAAGGGAGATGAGGCCAGATAGAAATTGTTGTCTCACAAAGTGACAGTCAAGTTCCACATGTTTCGTCCGTTCGTGGAAAACGGTGTTCGGTGCAATATGTATGGCTGCCTGACTATCGGAGAAAATAGGAACCGGAATTGGTGGTGGTACGGATAGATCTGTAAGGAGGCGAGTTAGCCAAGTAAGCTCAGCCACTAAACACTGCATGGAACGATACTCATCCTCGGCGGAAGAAAGGGAAATAGAAGCTTGCTTTTTGGATTTCCAAGAGATCGAAGAGCCCCCTAAGCTGATGAAGAACCCACTGATAGACCGGCGAGTATCGCGGCAGGAGGCCCAGTCGGCGTCGCAAAAAACCAAAAGAGAAAGAGATGGTCTTGAATTCAAAAACAACCCATGTCCTGGATTAGTACGAAGGTAATGAAGAACTCGAAGAGCTGCTGTGAAGTGATCAAGACAAGGCTTCTGCATGTATTGACTTAGAGTCAAAACAGCAAAAGAAAGGTCGGGGCGTGTATGTGTCAAGTAATTTAATTTGCCGACAAGACGCCGAAAAACTGAAGGATCAGCAAGGAGGGGACTGGAGTCAGCTGTGAGTGCGAAAGAAGGATCAATAGGAGAAGACACCATGGAAAGATGGGAGTAATCAAACTCAGATAGTAAGTCCTCTGTAAATTTAAATTTTTGCTGAGGAATAATAAAACCAGCTTGTTCTCATAAGATTTCCATGCCTAGAAAGTAGTGTATCAATCCAAGATCCTTAATTTTGAATTCTGAATGAAGAAATGCTTTGAGGTCTGTCAATTCAGTAGGATGATTGCCAGTAATTAAGATATCATCAACGTAAACTGTAACAATAGAAATGAAATCCCCTGTCTTTTTAAAAAGTAGAGAATAATCATTAAGAGAAGAAGAGAATCCTTTGAAACTGAGAGCCCCTGCAAGCCTGGCATACCACTGCCTTAAGGCTTGTTTGAGGCCATAAAGCGATTTTTGTAACTTGCAAACATGATGGGGAGTAGGAGGGGTCAGACCTGCAGGGAATTTCATGTATACTTTAGGTCACCAAGTAAAAACTCATTGTTCACATCAAATTGTGAAACATCCCACCCTTTCTTGACTGCAATAGACAATAGGCATCTGATGGTGATCATTTTGACCACCGGAGAGAAAGTTTCAGTGTAGTCGATGCCCTCTCTTTGAATGTCTACTCTGATAACTAGACGAGCCTTTAGCCTTTCAATACTACCATCAGCATGTTGTTTGACCTTGCAAACCCATTTACAGGGCAAAGCTTTCTTCCCAGGTGGAAGAGGTAGAACCTCACATGTTTGATTTGCTTCTAAGGCAGCCATTTCTGTGTCCATAGCTTGCTACCAACCTGAATGAGAACAAGCTTGGGAGTAGCTTGTAGGTTCAGTAATAGGAGAAATAGAGTGAAAGAGATGTTGGTTATGTGGAGATAGGGCAGTGAAAGAAAGAGTGTGAGGAGAGGATGGTGTGGCAAGACAAGACCTTGTTAAATCAGTGACAAAAACATTGTTACAAATGAAATCCTTTAGATAACTAGGCTGAGTGCCTAGGTTGATTCTGGTAGATCTCCTCAAAGGTATGATAGAAGTAGAAGAAGGAGGAGCAGGGGAAGGCATGGGGTTAGAAGAGGAGGGAGTGACAGAAGGCATAGGAGAATGAGAGAAAGGAGAAGTAGGAGAGACAGGAGATGTATTTGAAGGAAAAAGTATGGTGGGAGGAGAATCAGTAGGTATGTTGGTCATAGAAGGTTCAGAAATGGGAGAGGAAATGGGAAATAGAGAAGGTGAGGTACTGGAATTGACAGAAAAGGGATAAATGCTTTCATGAAATTGGACATCCCTAGATACAAAGACCTTTTTAGTGTCTAAATTCAGGAGCTTATAACCTTTTTGTCCACTGGGATATCCCAGAAATACACATGCCCTTGTCCTAGGTTCAAATTTATCCATGTGATGAGATAATGTGGAGGCATAACACACACCCAAAACACCTTAGGAACTGATAAGAAGGTTTCTGATTAAAGAGCATTTCAAAAGGAGTCTTTCCTTGTAGAACTCTAGAGGGAAACTTGTTGATAGGTGTCTATGCTTCCTTTCGACAATACCATTCTGTTGAGGAGTACCCACACATGAGGTTTGATGTAAAATACCTTGTGATTTGAGGAAAATGGAAGCTGATGTCCCTGTGCCCAATTCTAAGGCATTGTAAAACCTTATAATTTTGACTTTAGTACCAAACTGTCTTTCTACCATGCTCAAGAACCATTTCAAAACTGAAAAAGCATTGCTCTTAGTACTGAGTAAATAAGTCCAAGTTGCCCTACTGAAATCATCAACAATTGTTAGAAAGTACTTATATCCATTGTAAGTGGAGGTCTTGTATGGACCCCAGGTATCAATGTGAATCAAGTCAAATATGCCTTTAGTTTTGATGCGACTGAGAGGGAAGGGCAATCTAGACTGTCTAGCCAAAGGACATACATCACAAGAACAATAAAAAGTAGATGGAAATGAAATGGAGCTAATATATTTCATTGCATTGAAAAGCAAATGCCCAAGTCTAACATGCCATAACCATACATCATAATCTGTTTTTGCTAAAATAGATAAAGGTACTGAAACTAAACTAGAAAGACAACTCTTAAAAGATGAAAAAGAAGGCTTGACAGAATGATCCTTAGAGACTGTCCTATGAGGCTCCAAAAGGTAGAGACCTTCCTTAGCTTCACCAAAGACTTGAGGGCTCTTCAGGAGAGGGCCCTGCAAAATGCATCCAAAAGAAGTCAAAATTAAGAAACACTTGAATGCCTGGCAAAGTCTATTTACTGACAAAAGATTATATTTGAAACTAGGAATGTGAAGAACACCTCTGAGTGTAAGACCTGGAAAAATAGAAACACTACCAGTGTGTGTAACTTTTACCCTAGTTGAATTAGGCAGCTTGACCATTATAGGAACAGGAAGGGGTAAAAGAAACAAGAAAGACTGTACATTATAGCACATATGCTGAGAGGCCCCTGAATCTTGATTCAAGAACTAGAGTTAGAGTTAGCAACTGAATAACATGAGGGACAATTTGTAAGGAATATACCAACTGCTGAATTTGCAGTAACTGAATTTGCACTAACTTCTGAAGAACCTGATTGTCCCACTTGAATTTGATTCAGAAGTTGAACTAGCTGAGAAAATTGGTCTGGTGATAGTTTCTGGGCAAATTGAGGTCCCTCAACTGAGTTGCTTTGAATTCCCTCCAGTTGTTCCATTGTTGTGGCAGAATTCCCTTTTGCAGTTCCTTGAAATTTCTTTGGCTTAGTGAATTTAAAATCAGAGAGAAAACCTATAAGCCTATAGCAATTTTCAATGGTGTGATTGGTCATCTTGCAGTAGGAACACATCTGACCATTTTTCTTGCCTTTGGGATTGTTGTTTCCTTTCACTGAGTTGTGTCCAATTTTCTGCTGATAGTTAATGTGATTTCCCTTGTTGATTTGAGTGTTCTGTTGTCCTGCCATGAAAGAAGTTCCATCTCCCAGAAACTGTGAACTCACATGCACTTCTCTTTGATTTTCATCCTACATCAGTAGTGAGTAAGCATGGTTTACACTAGGCAAAGGGTTGATCATGAGAATATTACTTCTTGCTTGAGCATAAGTCTCATTCAACCTCATTAGGAATTGAATGAGCCTTTCATCATTTTTGAATTGCATCATTTTGTGTTTTCCTCCACAGTCACAGATGCAAGAACGCTGCATATTGGTGCTGAGAGTGTCAAGTTCATCCCATAAACACTTTTGAGTCTAGTGAAATAGCCTGCAATGTCGGTTGAACCCTGAACTAAGTCAGCTAATTCCTTTTGTAGCTGGTACAATTTTGCACCATTGGGTTGTCCAAACCTGTGCTCCAGATCTGTCCAGAGGTCTTTTGCTGTTTTAGAATAAAAACACTATCAGCGATCCTTTTGGTGAGAGAATTTAGTAACCAAGATGTTACCATATCGTTACACCCATTCCAGATTTTCAGATCTGAGTGAGTTATGGCTGGGGTAGGACAAGATCCATCAATGAATCCCAGTTTGTTTTTGGCTGAAAGGGATATGAGAATGGACCTACTCCATCCTCGATACCCACGACCATTAAAGGGAGTATTTATCAAAACCATCTCAGGCGTATCAGAAGCATGAAAAAAATAAGGATGGGTTGAATCAACAAGAGTTGAAGATCCGGTCCCAGGTGAGGTTTGAGTCACACCAGGTGAGGTCTGAGTCAGATCAGTCAAATCTGCAGACATGACGTTATGAAGGAATGAAGAACAGTGAATCAGAAAGAAGAAAGAAGAAATGAAAAGGACGGATCAGTAGAAGAATTTCAACTGCTCTGATACCATGTAGAAATTAGGAGAGTCTAATTGGAAAATTTTCTGCTTTCTTCATTGATTTTCATTGTACAAGAACGTCTATATATACAGATATTCCTTGCTGAGAGAAAAAGAATGACCAATGATATATTGTACACTTGTAAGAATTTTACTAGACTAATCATAACAAATAACTAACTATTATTCCCTATACATGTGAATATTTCTATCCGTGTGAGAAGCTTCCAGAATTGTGAAGCTCTTCACTATTCTCAAATGAAGAGCCAGGATTTAATCCATCATGAATGTCTTTGTTGCTTGAGATGGTGACACGTGTCTCATTCTTTGACTTTCTTTTGAGATCAGATTGAAGATCATTTGTTTTCTCCGCCAAATATTCTGAACATTTCTTTTCTTCTTCATCTGCTTTCCTCTTCTTCTCTTCTTCTTCATGAGACAAAACAGATTTAGAACTAGAATCAAGAGATCGATTCCCAACAGAGACGCAAGAAAGATGGCACCTTGATATTCTTGGCACCAAGTACTCTTTTTGTTTTGGCATTTACAAGGAAAGCCTTGTTTTGCTAGATAAAGGGGAATTACTGTCTCCACTTTATTTATCATCTGATGAGACAGATGATGACAAAGACGAACAAAATGATGCTGAGAAAAAGAAACCTCGAAGGCAGGAACTCTTGTGTCATTATGATATGCATCAGCATCTCACAAATGCTCTTGGAGCCAGAAATATATAAGAGTTTGCCCGTATATTAAATAGTAAACTAGTGTTATAGAGTTCAGGCCAACTTTCTGGGGCAGATTAAATGTCTGCTTTCTGTCAGTCCATTGAAGGGGAGCCCTAGAGCAACGATAAAGTTGTCTCTATGTGACCTATAGGCAACGGGTTCGAGCCGTGGAATTCCCCTTGGGATGCGTCCCTTCCCCGGACTCTGCATGAATATGGATGCTTCGTGCACCGAGCTACCTTTTTTTTTCTTTTTTCTGTCAGTTCATTCCAATCTCATTTGTCATAGCTATGTATTGTTTGGTCCATCTCAGGTGTTATGCTTGTTATTACAACTTTAATCAATTTGACTGCTCCATTTGTCTGGTTCTATGTTTGGCTCATTGACCAAATCAAGATGGACGTTCAGAATCGAATGTGTTAGTCAATGCGTTTTACTTAGGGTGGGGAAACCCGTAAAACCCATGAACCTTTTAGTTTTGAGATATCACAGTAACACAAAACTATTTTGAAATTGTAACAGTTGACAGATGAATACGAATACATATATCGCACCACTAACAAAAATGGTGCACTTAAAAGAATCAAAAATCTTTGTTAAACGTTACTGGGAAATCTATTTGTTGATCAGTCATAAACTTCCCAATCAAAGATGAGACAGACCCACTATCTAATTCCTGCGCTTTCAACAGCTTCATTCTTAATTCCAAAAATCTGCTGGATTATTAGCTTCTTTCGTGTTTCTCTTTGTACTGAAGTACACAAGTGGTACATGTGTCTCCATAAACTAAAACAAAAATATCAACTTCTTTTTGATAAGTAAAATATCAACTTTATAATATGACCCGATGATAAAACCAGCAACAGAAAAATTTCATGCAAGTCCATCAGCAGCCAGCTCGTTTTAGCTTTGGCATATAGATAATATGAAGTCAAAATTGACTTGCTTTAGCAAAATTCACTAAGTTAATGCCAATAAGGACACTATTTCTCTAAATTTAATAAATACAATGATTCATAATTTAAAAAGTCAAAGATTACAGACTAATATACCTATATCAGCCACAACAATCGAAATAGCGAACAACAGAAAGTTGCAATGATTACTTACAGACTCAGTAAATAACTGCAGCAGCATAAGGGATTTTTATTTGGGAAAGAAAGACTAGACCAAGGGCACTTACTTTGTAGCTTCAGCAACTGCAAGATAAGACATTCTTAAAATCAATTATAGTCATTGGGAAATGGAGTATATGCTTACGCACTATAAGAAACCTGAAGTTCAATTTGCCTTCTTCGTGAATTAGAGTTATCGAACTTTGAGAAAAGAAATAGTTTTGCTTTGCCACACAAAAAGTTCTGAAGCATCACCCCCTTCCCAATTAAATGAGCTCTACTACTATTGTTTCCAAGTAGACAAGTCTTCCTTTAGTTTGGGTATGACTATCGCTAAATTGTCATCATAAATTAAAGATCTATCATTCCACTAAAAACTAATCGGTGGATAGTGAGGTTGATTGTTTGGAATAAGGATTGTTGAGTCCCACATCGGTGGGATTTGGGTTTCTTAGTCTCCTTATATGGGCTTGGACAATCCTCACCTCATAAGCTAGCTTCAGGGTTAAGTTAGGCTCAAGGTCCATTTATTGTGGTATCAGAGCCAGGCCTATCCCAATATATTGTTACCGATATTGGGCCTCCATTTACGTTATACACGCTCCAGTTTGCAGGCCTAGGCGTGAGAGGGGTTGTTGAGTCCAACATCTGTAGGATTTGGGCTTTTTGGTCTCCTTATATGGTCTTAGGCAATCCTCACCTCATGAGCTAGCTTTTGGGGTTGAGGTAGGCCCAAGGTCCATTTATCAAGGATCTTATTTGTAATATAATTGATGACTGTTTGGAATAAGGTTATCTTATTTGAAAAATTTTACGAATCCCAGATATCCATAAGAGTTAGCAATGAAGTACAAGACTGATTAGCTCGCCTAAGGGTTGTAGCGGAAGAATCCCTCCTCTGCGAGCTACTACAGATCTATTTTCAGGAAGGAATCAAATGATTTACTTTCCTTTTATAATAATATCTTAATCTACAATCTACAAATAAGAAATAGGAGCAAACTTGAATGACTTAAGTGAAGACTTCTTTGATGGGGTAAATTGCAGTTTTAGTCCTTGAAATATAACCTCGTTGCGACTTTGAATCTCCATGTTCTTATGATCAACACATAACCTTTAATATTTTGAGACATGGGCCAATTTTGATATTTACTAATGTAATTAACAACATTGAACAAAAGTAATGACTCTAGTGGCTTCCACCACCTTCTGCCTCCTCTTCTGCTAAATCAGCATCAATCCCCCATTACACTACTATTACTATGGATCGCAGGTATCCATAAGAGTAGGGAAGGAAATACAAGACTGATTAGCTCACCTAAGCCTAGTAGCAGAAGAGTAGTTTTAGTCCATGAAATATAACCTTGTGACGACGTTGAATCTACATGCTATTATGATATCCATGTAACCTTTACGATTTTGACATTTAGTAATGCAGTAAACAAAATTGAAAAAAATTAATGGCATTAGGCTTCCACAACCTTCTGCCTCCTCTTCTGCTAAACCAGCATCAATCCCCCATACTGCGACCACTGTTCTTGCTGCTACTTACCCCAAAAAATAGAGAAACAACTTCTAATAAAATGTAGAGATAGATGTTTACTGGTGAAGTATCTCTGCTCATATAAATTAGAAAGACTAAGAAAAAAGAGGAAAAAGGTAAGCTCGCTTGGTGGAAAGTGGCAGCATGCACCGAAAAAAGCAGAACCAAACAGAATACTGTTAGCAGTTAGCACCAGCTGCCTCAATACCTACAGGTGACAAATCACTTAGTTTGCAAGGTCTACAATGGGAAGCTGTTGTGCCAAAGCAAGAGGAAAGAACAGAAGGGAGTATACTAAAGAGGAAAAGGAAAAAGAAACCAGGAAGAAACAAACACACATACAGAGAGAATGAATCAGAACCAGAAACCATAAAATTTATGTGTATCCCCCACCACTTATCGAAGATTACCATGTTTTTATTGGGCTTGTAGATTGTTTTTTTTTTTAAATTAAGTAAACAAGTAAACATGCTTGGTTTTGGCTTTAACCATAACCTAGATATGCTTTATAGATGATTATATGCTTTGCATACAAGTGCTCATGATTTTTTGAAGCCTATATATTATTTTCGTTCAAGCAAATGAATCCAGTACAACACTACCTATGATAAATTAGATGAACCATGCATAGTCTCCCAGTGTAATTCATATGACCAACGTGGAACAAACAGCATAATGATTCAGCTAATGATGAGCAAGGTTAGTAGAAATAGCAGTGCCTGCGTTATAAGGACATACAGTATATTTAGGGTTTAAATGATAAGATTATTATTTAAGATAAAAATTACCACTTAAGATGTTGTGTTTGTACAATCAAGAACTAGATAGTACTTATTAAGAAGTTCTTCCAAAAGATCATAAATTTAAGTTCTAAATACCAAAAATAGACTTCTTTCATTTGTTTTCAAGGCAAATGGACATTCTCAATATAAAAATACTTTCATATAATTTATACCCCTATAACCAACTTTAAACTACAGACATGCTTGCATTTATTTACAGAAGTATTGTGTTTGAAATCCAACATTAATATTTAATTCTCTGTCTAAAAATTTTCATGTGTCACTTGCTGTTCAAGATCTTATAAATGTGATATCTGCTCATAAGATATTGCAACTTGTTACTACTCCTGGTTAGACTACTTTATCAAATAAAGACATGTTATTTGTAGTACTACTTCGCTTCTTGGAATATTTGATACATAATATTGTCATGGCCATGGTATTCCTTGCTTATTGACATGATATTGTTCAGCCCACTTTCCCAAGGGCACTGACACGTAAAATATGAAAGGGTTTGTCAAACTATCAACCATTGTCTACTTGTCTCTGGTGTGTGGTAGCTGAAGAGCTAGCTACTTTCACTTGAATCAATTTACATGGACTCGTTTACGAGCAGATATTACTCCCATTGTTCTAATTTTTTTTAAATTCTCTTTCCTTTTTAGCCCGTTTCAAAAAGATAGGCACATCTCTATTCGGAAGCTATATACTTCTAACTTTCGTATTTTACGTTTAATGATATACTCTTAATAGAAATGACAAGGCATCTACATACATTTAGCTTAAGTCACCAAAGTCTTACTATCTTTCTAAACTCTGTGTCTAGTCGAATGCAGTGTTATCAAAGGCGAAAAGCGCAAAAACCTATAAGGTCCGTTAGGGCTTTAAGCGCAAAGCGCAAATAAAGCGTGGGCTTTAATGAAAAAAGGCACAACGGGAGAAAAAGTAACAATATGCATAGTAGTCCAAGACTAATCATTACACTCATTGGCAAGGAAAAGTATGTGTTAGAGCTTTGATGCGACAC